AACTAAAACACAAATTTTCTACAGCTTGAACTTCTCTTTAAGAGATTGTTCTGTGTTCTAAATTCCCACCCCAACCTCTTTCCACCCTCCAAGCGCCCTTCTTTTTTGCATGTTTGGTGTTTGGGTTTTTTGTTTGTTTGTTTGTTTGTTTTTTTTTTTTTTTGAGACAGGGTTACTCTGTGTAGCCCTGGCTGTCCCGGAACTCACTCTGTAGATCAGGTTGGCTTCGAACTGAGATGCCTCTGCCTCCCCAGTGCTGGGAGTAAAGGCGTGAGCCACCACCGCCGCCCCAAGCTCCCATCTTAACACCACCCCCATAGAACCTAGCCATGTCATTTACCTGTCCCAAGTTTACAAAACCTGAAACACATGGTTATAATGGAAATGACAGAGATGATCTCACCACAGTAGAGAGAAAACACTCATCATTGCTCAGTTGGAGGGGTGATTTCCCAAGGTTAGAATTAGTCTTGGGAGGTGGAAAGGATCCACTCAACCATGTTACTCTTTCTAGGACAGGTAGTGTAATTCTGCCAATGAATGCAAATGTAAGCTTACCTGCAATCAGCCTGCAAACTCTGTAAGGTTTCTTTGATATAAAGTCTTGCTATCCAAACCAGACTGGTCATGATTTTATAGCAATCCTGCTTCTGTTTCCCAAGTGCTGGGATTACAGGTGTGCATCACCATGTTCAACACTAAATATATTCCTGAGTCAGGCAGTGAGCCAACATGGAAGCACGTGTTTATACAGCATTCCCAATGGTCAAATTCTATGTGAGAATTCATTCATCATAAAGCAGACCTATCAGTACCAAAATCTTACACACAAAAATAAAGGGCAGGGTCCAGGGCTTTGTGAGACCCAGTGTGTCAGATGCTACCTAAAGGTGAGGAATTACATGGATTAGAGAAAGAGTCATATTGTGGCAGTCTCGTTAACTCAAATGGACCCCTTTATTGAGAGCATAGAGGCAGCCAAAGGAGTTTCATCTGTTTACATGACTTGTGTGACTGTCCCCTCTGCCCTCATCCCCATCTCATCCTTGAACCCCTTACACAAGGCACAGTACGTGATCCAGGAGTTCTCAGTGTTGGGCGGGGAGGGGTTGACCAGTCTATGTCATGCAGTTCACAGGTTATACCACAGTGGGGAAGTTTCTTAGTCATTTTCAATGGGAGAGTCATTTACCCATTCTCAGGCAACAAAGGTAATTTTAGTTGTCACAACTGGATGCAAGCGCTACTGACACCTACTAAGTGAAGACCAGGAATGCAGCTCAACATCCTACAGTGCATAGAACAACCCCTTAAACATAGCTGGCCAGTTACAGGCAGAGCCTTTAATCCCAGCACCGAAGAGGCTAAGACAGGTGGATCTCTGAGTTCAAAGCTATTCAAGTGAGACCCTGTCTCAAATACTAAAGAAAAACCTCAAAGGCTTTCCTAGCTCATCATCAACTGTACCAAGACCGAGCAACCCAGTGCCTGCCCAACTGCAGACAGTTAGGTTCAACCCTGAGCTTTTCTGTTAAGATCAGAGGATGCTAAAATTACAGGAGGCTAAACTGTTGCTCAGACTCACAAGGGCACAGATTCTATTAGCAGAGAGGGAAAACTCACACTGAGGAAACCTATACTGGGGAGTGGGGGTTTCAAATCAGAAGAGGAAGGCTCTATGTGGAAACCCTTACTATAAAAACTTCTGGGACAGGGGATGATTTGAAAAGGTTCCCAACAAATGTGAAACAGGCCCAGTCAGTGCCATTTATTGTACATGTTGAACAGTGTCTGAGAACCAGGGTCTCCAGAGTTTGTTTGTCTGTTTGGTTTAAGGGTTCTTTTGTCTTGTTGGTTTCATTCTTTTTTGCATCAAATAGGTTCTTCCAAGAACCTGTTCCCGAGGAAGACAAAAACAGAAATCCTCAGTGAAGTGAAACAGAAGAAACAAGGTTAAAAACTCACCAGACACAAGCCACACCAAACACTCATCCCATTTAATTTCCTGTTACATGCACCGAGGAAACCAAAAACATTAAGCCCCAGGGCAGCAATGCCCTGAGATTCTAGCTCAGGCCCCTCTTTGTGATAAATCATGCACACATACCCACACACACATTGACCCAGGCAGAAGTCACATGCATGCACAGGTGGCTAGAGAACTGCTGGGCGGGACGGGAGGAAGAGCTGGGCAAGCATACACCAGCACCTGTGTGCTGGAGACCCAGATAACCCTTCTGTTGCAAGCTGAACAAGAGTAAAGATTAAAACAAAAGCAGAACACAGGAAAAAGGAGGATGTTCAGACAGGTTGGATAGATGAAGAGGGAAAGATGCAGGGAAATTGGGGGAAAGCAGCCTCAAAGAGGGAGGTCTTTCTTTATTGGGAACAAGGATGGGCAGAGGATCTGTGACTCCAATAATATACCGAGGCTGACGGAATCTGCCACAGCTTCCCCTCTACATCCTGTGTCCTCTCCTGAAGCAGAGGGAAACCACAAACACCCACCCTCTAGCCCTGCCCATTAACACTCGTAAGGACTTTCTCCAGTACCCAAAAAGAAATGACACCCCACCCCACCTCAACACACACTCAAAGTTAGGTCCAGTACAGGCCAAAGCTAGGCCAAATAGAACGCCTCAGTAACTCTTCTTGGTGGAGCCAAAGCCAGAGAAGCCCATCACAGCTGCCATCTCATCATCCTCCTCAAACGTCAAGTCCTCCTCAGCCCTCCTTTTCTTCTCCTTCTGCTTCTCTTTCTTGTATGCTTTAGCCTTTTCCTCCTAAAGGGCAAAAAAGAGAAAAATTACACAGAATTAGTTCACTCCAGAGCTGATATTGTTGAAAGAGATACGTGAGCTTCAAGATTCTTTTCAATCTTTCAGCATGACTGACAGTCACAGTAAAGGTTAAAAAATCAGGGATAAAGCCCTTGTCCAGCACGTACAAGGCCCCGAGACTGACTCCTAGGACGGCAGTGGGAAGATTGTAAGAAAAGATTTTAAGGATAAGAAGAGATTCATTAAGTCTCTGGAGTTCTTAATTATACACCCTACTTCATCTCTAGTTCTAACCAGACAACATCCTGGGGCATACAGGATATGCTAATATCTGTTCTCAGTTCAGTGTAAATACTATCCTAAGATCTTCCATGCAGAAAATGAGGTACACTGAAGTTATTTAACTTTCCCAAAATTCATGCAAATACATAGAAGAAAAAGGATTCTGACTCTATAACCTGGATCCATAGACCAACTAGGGACTAGTTATATTTAGTAACTATAGGAGTGTACTCCCTCCTATAGTCTAAAAGGGAGTAAAAAGTGTAGGGGAAGCTACACATGCATGCAAGTATATGATAGCAGAGGGAAGTTCTGAACTTTCTTCATTTTGTTATGAACCTAAAATTAGTCTAAAACAAACCTGTCTAAAAGAGTCAAAGAGAAATGGATAGGTTTTGAGCCTATCTCATGAGTCTCAAACAAGGACGCCCTAGTTCACAAAAATCCAAAAACAAGACTGGAGATCAGAGAGTAAGCCGAGGAAGAGGGCCACCCCCAATTCACAAGGTAAAATGCCAAAGGTGGGGAGCAGGGTCAGGAGAGCCTCACCTCTTCTCTGAGTTCCTTCATCCTTTCCTCAAAATCATAGTCCTTCTGCTTCTCTTCCATCTTCTTCTTGTTGACCTCAAAACGTTTCTTTACCTGATCCAGAGTGGAGCGTTCCACACGCATAGACATACCCAAGTTTCGCTGATCTGGTGAGGTGAACAGTGAAGGCAACCATGACTATACAGTCTCAGCCCCTCAAAAAGTCTGGCCCTTGCTTTTTTTTTTTTCCTTTTTTCTTTTTTAACCTTTTCATAATAAAATACACAACAAAAATAACTATGCCTAAAAGAAGCTCTGGGTCTCACCTGCTCTCAGAAGTGGCAGCCCCAGATAATTAGCAGGTAGCTGATTTACTAATCAGATTATCAACCAGGTCAGCTAACCTCCTCCTCTGGCCTCTGTGCTTCTGCACAGGAGTCACATACTCAGCAATACACATTTACACACACACACACACATACACACACACACCCTACCACACTTCCCCTCGACCAGTCCTAGCTCCAGTCCTAAACTACCTCCAAGTCTTACGTTTCTTTCCATTAATGTGATCCAGGAAGTTGATGGAGTCCTTCACCACGCAGTCACAGACGTTGCAGTAGTAGCTGACAAATGGGAAGAAACAGCATATGGGTCAATCTGGTTTTTAAGGATCTTACTGTTTTCAGGGAAGAAAACTCAAATTTTTGGGTTATGAAATCTGTTTCATTAATGGAGACATTAACTGGTCTGAGACCAAGCTGGCCTCAGACATGCAGAGCTTGTCCTGCCCCTTCGTAAATGCTAGAATTACAGATGTGTATTTTCATAAAGCCTTAGAAGATAGTCTAGATCCTCCAAGGCAGCCTGACTCTCGTTGTCTTCCCTTCCTTTGTAGCTTCCTCCCAATCTGTGCCAAAATGTTCTGTGTGATAGTCAGAACGTGCAAAAGCGGTGGTTTATCATTTCCAAGATTAGATTATCATACAGTGGCTTCTGCGATTGTGAGGATGACCTGGTTTGGGGAAATTCATCTCTTTATGTTTATCGTTAACAACCTTACAAATAGGCCCGCAGGGTGAACTTCAGCCTCCAAACCATAGGCATCTGAAAGCCTGGAAGAAGATCTAACTTTATTTAAGCCCCAGTGAATGCAAGCAAATCTAGTCAATTCCATGACTGCAGCTTCATTGGAGACCCTGATCCAGAACCTCCAAGGAAACTAACTATCCCTCAATTCTGTGCCCACGAAACTATGAGCTACTATTATTATTTTATGATCCTAGAGGTTTAACTTACTAATTTATACAGCAAAGGCATCAAAACAGTGGGTTTACTAAATAATCTGCAGAAATGTGCCTAACTGCTATATATCTGTGTGAGTCTCCAGATAAATTCTAACTTGACAGAATTGAAGGAATGGTGGCAAAGGGGTGACAAGCTCTGTGGAACTCTTCTACAGGTCACAGTACTGGTGTATAATAACTACAGTCAACAGCTCCACCTAAAACACCCTAGTGCCTTCATAACAGACTATATAATCCCTTTGAGGGTACTACTGATAAGAAGCAAACTCACAGAACAAACTCCCCTAGAAATAGGGCTGAGTTGACTTCAAACTTCAGGGGGCAAAGAAAAACAAAGAATCGGGTTATGGTCAATAAGGTTGCCATTCCTGACCTGAGACTCTACTCAACACTTCCTAAAACCAATATGAATAGTTTATTAGACCAGCCGTGGTATTAGAGCAGGACAAAAAGCTACTCACCCTCCCATTTCAGACTGTGGGGTCGTCTTGGTAATGACGATCGTCTTCCCAAGCTTGGACTCCAAGTCCACCTTGTAATCCCTGTGCCGAAGAAGCTCCCGCTTGACGGGCTGCACTGGTTTTCCTGAAACAGAATGACAAAGTGGGTCCCCTCAGTATTTTTTTTGGGGGGGGGGTTGGCTTTTCGAGACAGGGTTTCTCTGTAGCTTTGGAGCCTATCCTGGAACTAGCTCTTGTAGACCAGGCTGGCCTCGAACTCAGAGGTCCGCCTGCCTCTGTCTCCCAAGCGCTGGGATTAAAGGCGTGCGCTACCACCACTGGGTGAGCCCCTCAGTATTTACTAGAATCTCTCTCTCTCTCCCTCTTTGTGTGTGTGCGTGGGGATTCCCTCAGTATTTACTAGAATCTGTGTGTGTGTGTGTGTGTGTGTGTGTGTGTGTGTGATTTCTCTGTGTAGCCCTTGCTATACTGAACTCACTTTGTAGACCAGGCTGGCCTCAAACTCAGAGATCCACCTGCCTCTGCCTCCTGAGTACAGGGATTAACAGTTGAGTATTACAGTGTCTTAAGACAAAAAGGAAAAGAAATACATGAACCCCAAAATGAAGATGACTACTCTTGTTGTTTTTTTTGGATTCCTCAACAAAGGGACACAATAGATACTTTATATAGCAGTTAAAAGAGGCCAGAAAAAACTCTAATTGGCCTGGAACTTACTATGTGGACCAAGCTGGCTGCGAATTTGATGGTAATCCCAACTCTCAAGAGCTTTTCTCCACTTTAAAGTTAGCAAACTTAACAGAGCTTCCCAGTCGAGCTGAACTGAGGAGTTCTGAATTTTTGCTAAAGTAAACCTCTCAGAAGAGGGGAACTCACACTCCGTAACATAATGTCCAATGTTTTCGTGCGTGTGATGGTTAATACTGGTTGTCAACTTGACTACACCTGGAATCATCTAAACCCAAGCAGTTGAGCACACTTGTTTGCAGCTTACTTTTACTTTTGTTTGGGGGGTGGGGATGAAGGAGCTGAACCATTTAAGAGGGAAAACCCAGCTGGGTGATAGTGGCGCACGCCTTTAATCCCAGCACTTGGGAGGCAGAGGCAGGCAGATTTCTGTAAGTTCGAGGCCAGCCTGGTCTACAAGAGCGAGTTCCAGGACAGGCTCCAAAGCTACAGAGAAACCCTGTCTCGAAAAGCAAAGACAAAACAAAAAAAGATGGGAAAACCCACCCTGAATATGGGCCACACCAGGGGGCAGCTCATGTAAAAGGAGAGGGGAAGCTTTGGTTTTCGCTTTCTTGTCGTTACTCGCTAACTGAAAAGCTATCTATCCTATAGACGGGGCAGTCCTTCTCTGCCACTGTATCAACTTTACCATCCCCTTAGCCCTTCGAGAAGCGAGCACCCACCATCCTTCTTTTCTCTCTCTTCTGTGAGTCTCTTCTCCGCGAGCTTCTCATATTCATCTTTGTCCCACTTTCGGCGAAAGTCCAAGTTTTTTGTCTGTAGGAGGAAAAAGTGCTCAAGATCCGTCGTTGTGCCTGCTCCCCTGAAGAAACTAAGGGAACCGCCTAACTGCTACCAAGGCGGCCCCAGGACCTTTCAAAAGAGAAGTCTCTCTGGAACGCCCGGGGGTCTGGGGGTACTCGGGACCCCAACCCGAGAGACTTCCGAGATTCCACGGTCCCTGCGCCAAGGCCTTACGGGGGAGTCCTCGAACCTGGACCCTGAGATCGCGAAGAGGTGTCAGGATATCAGCCAAGTCTCACAGCTTGTCTATATTTAGTTCCGAAAAACCACCCCAGACCCCTCAAACCTCCTCACACCAACACCTACCCCGCTGCCCGACGCCATCTTCACAGCGAAGTGAATGGAAAGTCGTAAAGTGCCGTAAAGCGCGCCCAGGAGCCATAAGGCAAGATCACGCTCCAATAAAATTCGAGCCTCGCGTTCTAACTGTGTTAAGGACTGGAGCGATTCTAAGGCTATCCTGTTAGCCCCGCCCTCTGTTCCAAGGAGACGGCGCAGGCGCAAAGGGAGCGTGAAGCAACACGGAAGTAAGGGCACTGGCCAACGTTTTTTTTTCTCTGGCTTTCAAAACAAGCCCTGGAAGAGTAATAGCTCAGCTCTTCCTTCTATTTTACAAAGACTCAGAGGTTCGGAAACAGTACCCCATAAGCTAGTCAACTTTACCTGCATCTTAGCTTTTTTTTTTTAAGACAGGTTCTCAGGTAGCCCAGGCTGTACTCTATGTCGTGGAGGCTAGTCTTGAACTTCTGATTCTTCTGCCTCCACTTCCGAAGTACTGGGTTTACAGGCATGAGCCACCGTGCCCCGTTCATGTGGTGCTGGAGTTTGAACCCAGGGCTTTGCTCATGCGATCAGGCATTCTACCAATTGAACTCTGCCTAGTAACAGAGTTAAAACCTTATTTTAAAAGCTAACACACTATCAGTGGTCTGGATGTCCTATTCACCAGTATGTACTATGAGTGTAGCTCTAAATTATGCACAAAAGACAAGCACTTTTACATTTGGGTTCTTTTTCCCTGAAACAAAGATACTATTCTTTGGTTAAACTTACTTCCATGTCTGGAGAACATTTTAACTCATTCAATTTATGAAGTACAATTTAATCTTGACACTTTCATCAGCCAGCACCCCCAGAATAAAGCACTCAGCACTCTTGACAAGTTTGTAGTGCTTGAGACAGTCTCATGTACCCTAGGCTATGATGCAGAGAGGATGGTTTTAATCTCCTGAACCTCCTGCCTCCACTTTCCAAGCGCTACGGTTATAGGCATGGTATGTTTTAAGACAAGATCTATTGGGCCCTGGCTAACCTGAAACTCTTTGTATTTTCCTCGGTGCATTACTGGAGTCACAAGAACTCTGCCCATCTGGGTTCCCAATAAAGAAAACCTCCCTCTTTGAGGCTATTCTTTCTCTTCATCTCTCCAACCTCTTGTCTGAACATCCTCCCTTTTTCTGTGTTCTGCTTGTTTTAATCTTTACTATTGTTCAGTTGATCTCAAACTCAAGAGATTCTGCTGCCTCTGCCCCACCACTCCACTGCTTGGATTAAACGTGCACATCAGGCAGAAATTGTTGCTGTCGATGTTGTTTTGAAAAGGGGTCTCATGTAAACCCAAGGCTGAATTTTTATCTATTTATTCATATTTGTTTGTTTGTTTGTTTGTTTTTCGAGACAGGGTTTCTCTGCGTTGCTCTGAAGCCTGTCCTGGAACTAGCTCTTGTAGACCAGGATGGCCTCGAACTCACAGAGACCCGCCTGCCTCTGCCTCCCGAGAGCTGGATTAAAGGTGTGCACTGCCACCACCACTGTCTGGCCCCAAAGTCAACTTTGAGCTTCTCATCCTCCTGCTTTCACCTCCAAAGGGAATGGTGTCCAAAATCTCAAAAGATCAGGTCAGATCACTAATTTATCATCCATTAAACTCAATGTCCAAAATAAAGAGCCCCACCCTTCTACTGTTAACTGAAAGAAACAGATGCACTCCTGGGCCCTTGAGACATTATCTCTGTTCACTGTCCTTTCTTGCTGTCTTTTTAATACTCCATGGACAGACCATAGTCTAATGTAGACAATTTCTCCAAAATCTTGTTCCCAAGATACAATAAAGTGAAGTATATATTAAGCTTCTCATTTCAATGGTTCAGAGTCTTGGCCTAAGGCAACTCTTCCAGAGTCTCGTTCTCAGTAAACATCTTAACATCTCTTGACAGAATTCAAAGGCACTTCAGCTCTGCCTTTGCAGCTGGAGTGTGCTTCTTCTGCATGCCAGCCATGCAGAGTAGCTGCTGATTCATGAGTCCTCAGGGCCTCCTACTTCTGTATCCAGGAAAGATGGAGGCATAAGGCAACTGTACAGTAGCCATGCTGGCCAGTTGTTGTAAAGTCCACCAGAACTCAGTCCTAGATGAAAACGTTTCTTCTAAGGGCAGCAGACAGAAATCAGGCAACAATCAAGAATCAGACAGTCGCTTCTGAATTTCAGCCACAAGACTTTCTCGATTAATGGTCACCTAAAACATAAGAGAATCCTTGTGTGATAAAATAGAAAAAAATACTTAGACAGTTTTTCTAATTTTACTTCATTCTGAATCCTCTCTCTCTCAAGATTTATTTATGTATACAGTATTCTATCTGCATGTATGCCTTCTCGCCAGAAGAGGGCACCAGATCTCATTATAGATGGTTGTGAGCCACCATGTGGTTACTGGGAATTGAGCTCAAAACCTCTGAAGAGCAGCCAGCAGCCAATGCTCTTAGACTCTAAGCTATCTCTCCAGCCCCCTGAATCCATTCTCACTATATACACCTGGGACCCATATGATAGAAGAGAAGTGGCTCCTGCAAAGTGACACACACAAATGCATGAGATATATGTGCACAAATACACACACACATATGCATGAGATATATGTGCACAAATACACACACACATACGCATGAGATATATGTGCACAAATACACATACACATATGCATGAGATATATGTGCACAAATACACACACAGGTAATTTAAAAGAAAAAGTTTTAAACTTATTTCCTCAGAGACTGCATCTCTGAAAAGAATCTGAAATCAGCTAGGTGATGGTGGCATACATCTTTAGTCCCAGCAGGTAGGGACAGGTAGATCTCCAAGTTCAAGACCAGCCTGGTCTACAGAGCAAGTTCCAGGACAGTTAGAGCTACACAGAGAAACCCTGTCTGAAAAAAAGGAATGTGGGATCTAGGCATGACAATATATGCCTGTTGCCACAGCACTTGAGAGGTTGAAGCACAAAGATCAAGAGATCAAGGAGAGCCTGGGTGACATAGTCCCAGACCATTCTAAGCTAAACAGTGCAACCCTGTCTTTAAAAGGGTGGGGGTGGGGTGGAGCATTTGGAACTCAGTATTTCTGCAAGCTCCCACTCACTTCTTCTCTGCTGGCCACTGAACGGAGCTTGATGACACCTTCACTCTGTTCTTGCTCACCAATGATAACCATCAGAGGAATATCTGTTTTCTCACAATAATGCAGCTGGGTTAATAGTTTAGGGTTGTTTTTAAACAGCATCTCTGCCTGAAAAAGAGAAAAAGAAAGTAGGGGACTTAAAGTGGTTATAGTACATAAGTGTCCAAGAACATACATTTCCAAGGGAGCCAGAAATAAGTAGCTAGCCCTCTAGTGATAAGCTAAAAATATCCTGAGTACCACCGTAGGCATGAAATGAGCCATGATAATCATGTCCACATACACCCAGATCACTCTGATACCAACGCTGCCAAACCTTGATCCCAGCATCCCAAAGCTCTGCGATTAGCTTCAACCGTTCTCGAAGAAAGTTCTTCTGGGGTGTGGCCACAAACACTTGGGTCTCTGTGGTTCGAACCTTCTTACCAGAAGCCTAATAAAACAGACAGAAGAAACTAAACTACAGCCTAGGATAGCTCTCACAACTGTAATCCCTGTACTCAGGTGCCGAGGGCAGGAAGACCCTAAGATCAAGGCCCACCTCAGCTCAGAAAGAAATCCTATTTCATATAGTTCTTTTAAGGGGGTTGGGAGGAGTGCAGAGGGAGGAAAGGATTGGAGAAAGGAGAAATGGCTCAGAAGTTAGAGTACTTGTTCTTTCAAAGGATCTAAGTTCAGTCCTCAGCACTGACATGGTGGCTCACAATCACCCATAGCTCGACCCCCATTGGCACCAAGCATGCACACACATTCAGGCTAAACACTCATGCACATAAAAAGATAGAATCAATCTTTTAAAAAAAGAAAGATAGATATTTCCTTTGTACTATCAATTCCAAGAAGCAAAAAAAAAAAAAAAAAAAAAAAAAAAGGTCCAAAATGCACCTCCAGAAACTAGCTCTTAGCTTTCAAAGTCACTTTAAGGCTACCTAGGACCTACCTTCATTTTCTGCTCCACAAGGAAGAAGATTCTCTCCACTCCAATGCTCAACCCCACACAGGGCACGTTATGGCCCTTGGGATCAAATTGGGCTACCAGGCCATCATAGCGTCCACCAGCAGCCACACTGCCCACATTCAGAGCCTCTGTTCCAGCCTGACCCGGAGACTGTAGTAGTACTGCTTCATAGATCACCCCTGTATAATAGTCTAGGCCCCGGGCCAGACTTAAGTCAAAGGAGATCTGTAAGGGAAAAGCTACAGTCAGTCCCAGATCAGACTCTGAGAACCTAGGAGCTCAACAGAAGGTCAATCCCAGCTCTGCCTACCTTTTCAGCAATTCCAAATAAAGTCAGGTATTCAAAGAGTAGCTTCAGGTCCGCCAAGCCCTGCAGGGCCAGCTGGCTTTGGGACAGATTGGGATCCTTGGACAGTTCCTCTACCAGGGATATCCCCCCTGGGAAGAAAAGTCAGGTAAAGTCTGTGTTGTTTGCTCAAGTGTGTTTGATCCAAATTTATCTAGGTATTTGTTGTTGCTGTTTCAGTCTGAGTTTTTGTTTGTTTGGTTTTGGACAGAGTCTCTCTACATAGCCCAGGCTATCCTAGAATTCACTATGTAGACCAGGTTGACCTCAAACTCACAGAGCTCCACCTGCCCCTGCCTCCCAAGGGCTGGGACTAAAAACATGTGCCTCCACAGCCAGCTTGAATTTATCTGCTCTAGCCCACCTTCCTCATGTTCTTAAAAAAAAAAGAAATCCACAACCTTAGTCTCAAGACCTTCTTCTCCACTTCTGCCTTTGTCAAGAAGACATAAAGCAGTTTCAATACATAAAAGGGAAACTTGATCCAGGGCAGACTCTGGAGCTGGACACATGTCCCCCTCAGCCTGTTCTACCACAGCTCTGAAAGCACTAGTTCTTACCGTGACATTGGACATACTCCCCAATCCGGTCGGCCACCTCAGGAGCTAGGCCTTTCTTGGCCACCATCTCATGTCTCACATCTTCCCAAGACATCTGCATTAAGACAAACATTAG